CAATTAAAAAGCATTTTTTCGAAAAAGGATCTAACCAACGACATGCATTTGGAATTCAGATGAATGAAGAAAGTTCAAGATCTCAGCTGATACTTTCAATTGTCATTGAGAGTACCAACCTTCAAACTTAATCTTTTGCAAGAGGAAATGTAACATCTATTATGGTGGCAATGTTATTTGATCAAATCATGAGATGTGCTTCTAGACACTTTAAATGTAGGAAGATAATGTTAACGAGAATTTATTTGTTCATCTCATGATTATTTCAACATCTTATAATGCAAAGGCAGATATTAGATGCAAATAATGACAAAAATTTCTTCTTTCAATATATGGGAAAATAACTTATTGATTTTATGTGACAAAATTTAAGGCCATCTTAATGAAAAAATATAGTTCTCCTATTTCTTTATCTAAGCTATGTATCCATTTATGTTTTTGACAAACGTGGATTTTATGTTGGTAGCTCTAAATATTGGTGTACATGGAGTTTTTTATTGACATTTTATATTTAATATGTTAACGTTGGTTTCTAAATTAGCTTTCTTGGTAGTTTGTCTTGTGAATGTGATCTAGGGTTTAGAGGTTTTGTTTTATACCAATCTGTCACGCCCCCTCCCAAGTATCCTTATCTTGTCGGGCGACCACAATTTTCAACCTTAGCCTATACCCATTGGATGTCCACAATTTCCATCCCAGCCTATACCTGCTAGATATCCACAATTTCCATCCTAGCCTATACTCGCTGGATGTCCACAATTTCCATCCCAGCCTATACCCTTTGGATATCCACAATTTCTATCCTAGCCTATACCTATTGGATGTCCACAATTTCCATCATAGCCTATACCCGCTAGATGTCCACGCTTTCCATCCCAGCTTATATGCGCTGGACGTCCACAATTTCCATCCATTCGATTAATACAACAACCACCCACCACCATCACACTAGTACCCACGATCCCTAATATAAACAGCCAACTAGGCCACCTACAGTCTACCCTCGGGGTGGAGCTATCCACAGTCTATCATTGGGATGGCTAAAGCATCACAAGATGACCATACTCAACCCACGGTCTACCCTTGGGGCGTCATGATATGGTATCAGAATAATAGAATCGTGCCCACAATCTACCCTCGAGGTGTGATCTCGCTTAGAGCTTGTCAAGTGCTCATCCTATCTCGATAGGATGGTATGTGGCAATATCGTTTGGTAGTACGGGCCATCTCGATGCATACATGAGGCTATGGTATGCCACACCACCCATAGTCTACCCGCGGGATGGTATACTCATCACTGGATGTCCATACTCGACCCATAGTCTACCCTTGAGGTGTCATGATATGGTATCAAATAGAATCCTGCCCACAGTCTACCCTTGGGGCGTCAGAAGTCCCACACCGGCCAATACCCACCTGGTGTAATCCCACCTAGAGCTTATCAGGAGTTTGTCCTGTCTTGGTAGGATATTGTAATCGTTCGGTAGGATAACCATCTCAATGCACGCAACCACACCTCCAAATTTCCCAACCTAACCTTTAATGATATTACATGCTTTCATGCAATGATCGAATATGAGTGCTATATAGTTCTTACTAAAGCCAGCGTGTAAAAACGAGTGTATCATTCCAAAGTACGAACATGTAATATATCTTTATCCCCTAAAATTTTCACTCATTTGTTTAGTCCCAAACGTTTTAGATCCTTGTAGTCAACCCCCTAAACCTTTGAATTCTTGCAGTGAAACCTCTATACTTTTAAATCTTTGCAATCAACTTCATGTCTTTTTAAATCCTTATGTTAGTCCCATGTATTTCCAAACCCTTACGATTAGCCCCCTATCTAGCGCCTGATCCAAAACCACCATGACAACTCAACAAAACATCACAACATCACATACATGAATTGGCCAAAGCAAGACTTTTCACAACCTTCATTCACGTTTCAACTATCTACGGTATTTCAACTCCAAAATCATGCAAACACAACACAACACAAAACACATACAACCAGATTTGAACAACACTAACTACCACTAGAAATTCGGCCAAGGTAAGATGAGATACAAAGGCACTTACTTGAATAAAAAAACGGATAGAGACAAAAAGAATCTTCAAGCATAAAGGATCTCTCTACCAACTTGAAGTTGAACCACCACCAAATCCCTTGTCAAGACTATTTCATTGTTCAACCTTACAAAATGAGAGAGGGTTTGCTTTTATAGTAACATTACAAGGGTAATTAACTACTTAAGTAAAATAAATGTGCCACCTAGGACAATTAACTAAACATGACAATATTTATTAAATCCTACTAATAAGAGTGCATGAGTTTGGGCCTTGGAATTCATTGAAGAGGCCCCAAAAAGAAATACCATGGGAATGCTCTTTGGGCTTGGATAATAGGCTATTTTGGACCTCTTGAATGTTTGGGCCTTTTCTCTGTTGGACTTGGACTTCACTTGAAGAATTTGTGCTTGAATGGGCTTGGGTCGAAATGTCTTCTTTATGCATATGGGTTGAGTTGTTTCCTTGCATAGTTTGGGCTAATTCCTCTCCTTGAGCTTGGGCCGAATCTGACTTGCCTTCTTGGACAACTTGGGCTAGCTTCCTTCCTTGAGCTTGGGCTGAATTACAATTCTTGTGATCCACATGTCATGCACCAAGTGTTTTAGAACTTGGATTGGCTATTTTTTATTCAACCAAATTTGCAAGTGTGTTATGACTTGCAATTCCATTTCCACTCAAGTTCACAAGTGTTTTAGGACCTATAAATGGATCAGCGTCTGTTGCTTCAATACTTGCAGAAATGACAATCTGGCCCTTGAAAATCCTTTTACCAATTACAATCAATTATTAACCCAAAACAAAGAAATTTGGGCCTTAAGATCACCAAAGCAAATCAAGCTCATCAATTTAATTATATAACTAAATACCCCTAACACATGAATGGGTCATATCTATAGCCCAATTCCAATAGGCCCAAAGTAAAATACTCAAACTCCTTGATAAACTAGCCCACCAATTCTTTAATAAATCTACTTATTCAAACTAAGTAATTAGACCTCATTATTTATAGGCCGACCCACTTAAAGAATTAAGCTCGCCAATTCAATTAGTCTATCAACATAATTAAACTCACCATAAAACCCAACCAACTGGACCTCAATAATAACAACCAATCCACCTCAACAACAAAACCCAACACCCTAATATAAAAATGGGCTACATTCTTCTTTCTCACGACCCAAGTAACAACATAACCTCAAAAAGGCCCAAGAATTTTAAATAAAGTAACAAAAGCATATAATATTTATAGACCAGCCCATTTAAACAATTAAACAAAAACAATATTTAGTATGATAATATGATATTTTGAATTTGGGTGGACAAAACAGCTGTAATAACCTTTTGAATACCCTAACAAAATCAGTTAAAGAAAACAAAAACAATTTCAAAAATCTTAATATTTATCAATATAATGATGTTAATTTACATACTAAAATTGTTTCGAATCACACTTGGCCGAATCGCGAACAACAAAAGCATAGGAAGACCAAGAACAAGAAGAAGAAAATGATGAAGCTTCGCAACTGCAAGGCAGTCTCAGTCTCGCCCAATGTGGCCCCATTGTTCTTCCTACTTACAAGGGGCATCAAGAAGAAGTGGATGTGGAAAGTACCTTTGACAGTATTATCAAGCCAATTTTATAGATTGTATGATAAATAAGGGAAAATATATGATTATAGGTTGTAAAAATACCACCCATACAGAAAGAAAATCAATAAGATTATATGATAAATAAACGAAAATATAAGTTTCCTTATTTATTAATTCTGTTACCATAAGACCGGGTGGGATTTATTTGCATATTATAAATAAGGAAACATATTTTGGTAGGTTACAGATTAGCCCACCCATACAAAAAGAAAACTTGTATTCTAAACAAGAGAACACACTTGAACTCAAAGAAAAAACATGAAGACCATCCAATTTTCTGCCATCCTACTGCTCGCTCTCTTCTTTTTCGGTAAATATATTTAATTCTTCTGTTAAATTCTTACATAAATTTGACATATTATATTGTTTATATTACTAGACAAGTATACGGATGACGTGATATAATTGTATATTACTGATGTTCTTTCTTAGTTGCTAAAATCTTATTATAACAACTATTTTTTTAATGATTTTTTACAGCTGCTGTTGCGTCCGTAGTATCACAAGCCAAAATCGACAACATATGCAATCTTGTGTTATATGAGCAGGGATGTGACCTTGAACCTTGTTGGCAAAGTTGTGTAGCAAAATACCAAAAAGCAGCGCATCGCGTTCAATGTGATTTAAACCTTGGAACAACAGATTTTAGTTGTCTATGCTTTTATTATTGTTAACGATTTATTAATCTTACACAAGAAAGATTAAATAAATTATTGCTACTAGATAGCAATTTCTTTTTATTAATGAAAATATTGTGTTATTGGCTTGATAATACTGTCAAAAGTACTTTCCACATCCAATTTTTCCCACCTATAAATTTTGAAAAACAATTTTCCCACCCATCATCAATCTTCGTCAATCCAATAATTTACAGACCAGAGAACAAAAAAGTAATCCAAGTCAAGTGGATTTTCAAGAAGAAGCTTAATTCGGATGATTTAGTTCATAAGCATAAAACTAGGTTGGTTGTCAAAAGGTTTGCTCACCAGTATGGAGTTGATTTTCAGGACACCTTTGCACCAGTAGCTAGGCATAACACAATTAGATTGCTACTTGCTTTGGCGGCTCAATTTGGCTAGAAAATTTTTCAGTTGGATGTCGAGTTTGCATTCTTGAGTGGTTGGCTCAATGAAGAGATTTATATTGAGCAACCGGAAGGGTATCAACTTGAGGGCTAGGAGAACAAAGTTTATCTCCTAAGGAAGGCATTATACAACCTAAAACAGGCTCCTAGAGCTTGGTACAACAGAATCAATGACTATTTGATTAGTTTGGGGTATATGAGGAGTCCCAATGAGCACACCTTATATGTGAGAGAGTTGGAAGGGGAATTGGTCATTGTCTCATTGTATGTAGATGACCTACTCATCACTGGAAGCATCTCAAGTCAATTGGATGAGTTTAAAAAGGTCATGCATAGTGAATTCAAAATGAGTGACTTGGGGGAAATGCCCTACTTTCTGGGTATGGAAATCAATCAAGCTTCATGTAGGATATTTGTCAATCAAAGGAAATATGCTAATGAAGTTTTGAAAAAGTTTGGCATGGACAAGTGCAAACCAGTGGATACTCCATTGGTTGCAAATCAAAAGCTGAGTAAAGAAGATGGGGTTGTGAGGATAGATGAAGGATTGTACCGAAGCTTGATTGGTTGTTTGCTATACTTAACAGCAACCAAGCTTGATTTAATGTATGCAACCAGTCTTCTCTCCAGGTTTATGAGCAATCCAAGTGAAATTCACCTTAGGGTAGCCAAAAGAGTGGTGAGATACATTAAAGGCATCCCTGAATTTGGTGTGTGGTTCAAAAGGTTTGAAGATTTTCAGCTTGTTAGATACTCCGACAGTGATTGGGCTGGATCAATTGATGATATAAGAAGCACATCCGACTATATGTTCTTCTTAGATTCAGGAGCTGCTTGTTGGTTATCCAAAAAAAAAAGATATAATAGATCAGTCCATAGCAAAAGCAGAATACATCTCTACTGCTGCTGCCATGAACCAGGTCATTTGGCTAAGAAAATTTTTAGAAGATTTGAAGCAAAAACAGAGGAATCCTACTGTGATTCTATGTGATAATCAGTCTACAATTGCAATGGCTAAAAATCTTGTCTTACATGGTTGAACTAAACATATCAAGATCAACTTTCATGCTATAAGGGAGGCTGAATGTAATGGAGAAGTTGAGCTGGTCCACTGCAGGGGTGAAGACCAAGTAGCAGACATCATGACTAAAGCTTTGTCCAAAGCCAAGTTTGAAGATGTTGGATCCCCGCGCATTCAACAACTCAAAATTAAAGAAACAGTAACTCAAATGAAATAGGAAATGGCGATATTAAAAATGGAAATGCAAATTGTTAGAGTGAAGCACACAAAACGCTGCCGTTGTGCATTTAGTGGAACACTGTCGTTTTACTCTTGTCATCACAAAGAAATCCAAACCATTGAAGGACATTAAAATCTGACGGCCAGGATCCATTCTACCCAAAACAAAATGAAAAAAATGACTTTACCTTGCTTGCTGCGTTTTTCAGTTTTGCGGCTGGGTTTATTTTTAGTTGTGTGTATTCTGTGAAAAAAGATCTGCTCTGTATCGTCTCTTTCTTGGCTGTAATCTTTGTGTGGTTGGTTGCAATCACTTGTAAGGGTTGCTTTTCCCTTGAGTCTTGAGGATCTAAGTTTAGAGTTCTCATAGGAAGATTTCAGTTTGTTTTGTGAGAGATATACGCTGTTTTAGAGTGGGTTTGGGTGTAGAATCTGTTTGTATCAGGTTGTATTAATCTTTAGTGCAGCGAGCTCCTGAGTTTCTTGAGCTCAACGTGGATGTAGTTTATCCTATATAGGATAAGCGAACCACGGTAAAAATTCGTGTGTCTTTGTTCTTGATTTCTTTACATTCTTTGTTTATATGTTGTGTGTGAAATTGGTGGATGATTTTTTGAGTGTTAATAGTACAGATTAACTCAACAGTGGTATCAGAGCCATCAATTTAGGGTTCGTCAATTTTTTAGGGTTTACTGTTGAAATTAGGGTTTGATAAATTTTGGGGGTTTCTTGATTTCAAGATTCAATGAGGTCTAGAGTTAGGAAATCTTCAAAAATTAGTCTTTAATTTCTTGTGATAACCACAAATTCAAGTGAAACCCTTGTTCTTCAAAACTGTCTGAAAAATTATCAAACATCATTACCATCAATTACACAGAATGAGTACCACACGGGTTGAAATCACACACTATGATGGCAAAGTTGATTTCAACACCTAGAAGAAGAAAATGAAGGCACTTCTGTCATATAACAAAGTGGCAGTCGCATTGGAGAAGGACCAGACCAAATGGCCCGAGGAAAAGCTAAAAAAGAAAGTCAAAATTGACGAGGAGGCGTACAATCTCATCGTCATGAATCTAGCCAACAACGTTCTGCAAAAGGTAGATGGTGCTGAGACACCGTTAACTCTCTGGGGTAAGCTAGAATCACTCTATGCAGTTCAATCTGTCCCTAATCTTGCTTATTTGAAAGGTATATTTTTTTCTTATAAGATTGATATTGCTAGGACCATAGAAGAGAACCTAGATGAGTTCTTGAAAATGACCCTTGTACTCAAGGGCACTGATCAAGAACTCAGTGAGTCTAGTTTAGCCATGATTCTCTTAAATTCCATTACTGAAGAATATATGGTTGTCAAGAATGCCCTGTTGTACACTGGAACTGTCCCTAGTATAGACCTAATTACATCAGGTTTAAATGCTAGAGAACTAGAGCTTAGGGTCCAGAAGAAAAATAACAGTAGTCTATTTGTGAAAGGAAAGGGAGATTCTAGGCAATCTGGGGTAATTCTCAATTTAATACTGGTTCTAGAAATAAAAAGAAAAACAAGAATACTCATAAGGGAAAAGGAGAAACAAGGAAATGTTTCTTCTGTAACAAGACTGGTCACCTAAAGAAAAACTGTTATGAGTGGATCATGAAGCAAAAACAGAATAGTACAGAGAGCAATCTAGCCTCTAGTAAAACTGATATCCAAGAATCTGAAGTGTTGACTGTATCTAGGTCTAAAAATGTAGAGGAATGGGTATTAGATTCTGGGTGCTCATTCCATATGAGCCCCAATAGGGAGTGGTTTCAAGAGTTTGAAGCTGGTGAGTTAGAGACTGTTTACATGGGAAATAATAATGCCTACAAGGTTCAAGGGATTGGGAGTATAGTTCTAAGTCTTGATAATGGTAAATCTGTCAAATTAACTAGGGTGAGATATATGCCAGAACTGAAAAGAAACTTGATTTCCCTAGGTACATTAGACGAATTAGGTTGCTGTTATAAGGCTGAAGATGGTTGCCTAAATGTGTATAAGAATAAGAACTTAGTTCTGAAAGGTGTAAAACGAAATGGCCTCTACATCCTGTGTGGTAATTACTGTTCAAATTATGTTAATGCTACTTTGTTCACTACTAATCTTACTGTTACAGAAAAGTGGCACCTCAGAATGGGTCACATGAGTAAAAAAGGACTCAACATTCTGAGCCAACAAGGTATGTTTGGTAAGGACTCTATCGATACTTTAAATTTTTGTGAGACATGCATATTAGGTAAGCAACATAGGGTGAGCTTCCAGAAAGGAACTCACCTGGCCACTAATAACCTAGAATATCTTCATGCTGATTTATGGGGGCCTGAAAAAACCAAAACACATGGGGGAAGTAGTTACTTTCTGTCTATAGTTGATGACTATAGCAGAAAAATCTTGGTTTATCTGCTTAAGACCAAAGATGAGGCTCTAGCTAGGTTTAAGAGTTGGAAAGCATTAGTAGAGAACCAAACTGATAAGAGAGTTAAAGCTCTCAGAACTGACAACGGCCTAGAATTCTGTAATAGTGAGTTTGACCAATTCTGTAGGGAATACTTAGACATAGGATTGTGAGGAAGACTCCACAACAGAATGGAGTCGTTGAGAGAATGAACAGAACTCTGTTAGAAAAAATTAGATGTCTACTGTTCACATCAGGTTTACCAAAATCCTTCTAGGGTGAGACCCTTAATACTGCAGCTTATTTGGTTAATAGGAGTCCCTCTAGTGCCATTAATTTCACATGCCCAGAAGAAAAATGGACTAATAGAAAGCCCAACCTAGGTCACCCTAGACCTTTTGGATGTGCTGCTTATGCACACACCAGTGAGGGAAAATTAGAACCTAGGTCCTTGAGATGTATATTCTTAGGTTACCAAGAGGGGACTAAAGGGTACAGGTTGTGGGAAAGAGAGGCACCAGGGGTAAAAGTTATTATTAGTAGAGATGTTATTTTTAACGAAAATCTTTTTCCTTATAGAATCTCTAATAATCCTGCAGGTACCTCTACCACTGAGGAACTTAGTCAAGATCAGTACAATGGGACACAAATTGAGGTGGAGTAGGTCAGAGTTCAAACTGAACTGGAAAACCAAGAGCAAACACCTGCAATTTCAGATTTTGAACACGAATCAGAGGATGATCAAACTGAAATTTCAGAACAGCCCCAACAGGAGTCATTGGCACAATACCAACTCACCAGAGACAGAACCAGGAGAGAAATCAGACCTCCTGCAAGATACTCATATGCTGACTTAGTGTTAATAGCTTTGGTTGCAGGTGCTGAAATTCAGAGAACTGAATTAGATAGCTACGATGAAGCAATAAGGTCCAAAGACAGGGAGAAATGGCAAGCTGCCATGGAAGAGGAGATGCACTCCTTGAAGGTAAATGGGACCGGGTCCCTAGTACCCTGTCCTAAAAATCAGAAGCTTATTGACTGCAGATGGCTGTATAAGGTAAAGGAAGGTATGACTTCTACTGATCCTCCTAGATTTAAAGCTAGGCTTGTAGCAAAAGGCTACACCCAAAGGGAAGGGATTGATTTCAATGAAATCTTCTCCCCTGTAGTCAAATATAAAACCATTAGGATCATGCTATCTATAGTTGCACATCTAGACCTAGAACTAGAACAGTTAGATGTAAAAACTGCTTTCTTGCATGGTAATCTAGATGAAAAAATCTTCATGAAACAGCCTATGGGGTTTATTGATAAAAACTGTCCTGAACATGTTTGTTTGTTACAAAAATCCTTGTATGGGCTTAAACAAGCCCCTAGACAATGGTATAAAAGGTTTGACACCTTCATTACCAGTATAGGATTCAAAAGAAGTGAGTATGACAATTGTTTTTACTATGATTTAAATTCTGGCATGCCTGTATATTTACTGCTTTGTGTAGATGACATGTTGCTAATTAGTAAATAAAAAACCATAATAAATTACTTGAAGTCTAGCTGAATTCTGAGTTTGACATGAAGAACTTAGGTAGTGCTAAGAAGATCCTAGGGATAGTCACTGACAGGAAAAGAGAGGACTGTGAACTAAAACTTCAGCAGTCCTCCTACTTACTGAAACTGGTATCCAAATTTGGAATGTCAGATTCCAAGCTAGTATCTATGCCTTTAGCTAGCCATTTTACACTTAGTAAGACTCAAAGTCCCAAGACTGAATCTGAATTCATTAAGATGGAAAAAATTCCTTATGCCAATGTGATAGGATCCATCATGTACGCCATGATTAGCACCATACCTGACCTATCTTATTCCATTTCACTTCTTAGTCGTTTTATGTCCAATCCAGGTACAGAACACTGGTTAGCATTGAAATGGTTACTGAAATATATTAATAGTACAATATATGTTGGGCTGGAATATAAGAAAAAAGGAAACTCACTTGCTCTTGTGGGATATGTAGACTTTGATTTTGCAGGAGACAGGGACACAAGGAAGTCTACTACCTCATACTACTTCACATTGGGAGGAAATTGCATAAGCTGGAAGTCCCAGCTTCAACCCATTGTTGCCCTCTCCTCCACTGAGGCAGAATACATTGCTGTAGCAGATGTATTCAAAGAAGGATTATGGCTTAAGGGGATCCTATCTGAGGTGGAGCTAATTGATGAGAAGATAGTAGTGTTTTCGGACAGTCAGAGTGCACTTCACCTGAATAGAAATCCAGTTTACCACGAAAGGACGAAGCACATGGATGTTAGATATCATTTCGTGAGGGATTTAGTGACTAAAGGAATCATAGACTTGAAGAAGATATCAACTGAGGACAATCCAGCTGACATGGGCACAAAGGTAGTAACTGTCACAAAGTTCAAACACTATTTGAACCTGCTGTTTATAAAATAAGCAGCAAATAACAGAGCTGAGAAGGATTCTTGGGAGGTAGCTGCACTAGAGAGAATTAGACTAAGCTGTTTGGTTGTGTTTGTGTTTTTGGAGCTTCAAAGTGGAGAATGTTACAGTGAAGCACACAAAACGCTGCCGTTGTGCATTTAGTGGAACACTGTCGTTTTACTCTTGTCATCACAAAGAAATCCAAACCATTGAAGGACATTAAAATCTGACGGCCAGGATCCATTCTACCCAAAACAAAATGCAAAAAACAACTTTACCTTGCTTGCTGCGTTTTTCAGTTTTGCGGCTGGGTTTATTTTCAGTTGTGTGTATTCTGTGAAAAAAGATATGCTCTGTATCATCTCTTTCTTGGCTGTAATCTTTGTGTGGTTGGTTGCAATCACTTGTAAGGGTTGCGTTTCCCTTGAGTCTTGAGGATCTAAGTTTAGAGTTCTCATAGGAAGATTTCAGTTTGTTGTGTGAGAGATATACGCTATTTTAGAGTGGGTTTGGGTGTAGAATCTGTTTGTATCAGGTTGTATTAATCTTTAGTGCAGCGAGCTTCTTGAGCTCAACGTGGATGTAGTTTATCCTATATAGGATAAGCGAACCACGGTAAAAATTCGTGTGTCTTTGTTCTTGATTTCTTTATATTCTTTGTTTGTGTGTTGTGTGTGAAATTGGTGGATGATTTTTTGAGTGTTAGTAGTACAGATTAACTCAACACAAACTGAATATTTTATATTAACCAAGCAAAGCATAAAACGGATGAAACTGAACCAATAATTGGAATCAGTCAACCTCACATAAAAGAAAACTACTCCCATCCCAGCTGAACTTCGATGGTCAGCCTCCTCCCCGATTCCCCATATAATTTTTTGATGATAATCCTCTCAATTGCCTCCCTTTTTATTCACTTTTCCTCCTGACAGAATTATTCCCTTATCTCATCCTTTACTGTCATCTGTTCACCCAATAACCAATTCTTAACAGCTCACTCTAACACCTCACTCAACTTTTAACACCTCACTCTCACACCTCACCCATCGGAATCTTCTTGTTACAGCCCAAAATCCCCTGCTTGCCTGCCTTAGTTTTCTTATTGTATACCACATGTCGGGCGGTTTTATCAGAAGAATTAAGGCTCAAATTTGGTGTTTCCAGCAAAAATATCAAGGAGGAGTGTTGAAGCTGGTGATATTTTGCTGGAAATGCAGAAAATTCAGTCAACATTTTTGAAAACCTTTCTGGCGCCTAGAGTTCAAGTTGTTGTTCTGGTTGTAGTAGGTGGAGCTGCTGTGCTGATGCATCTTTGTGATGTAATTTGTGATATGTTTAGTTGAGTTCAGTTGTGATTAAGTGTTGTATTTGATAATAATGTACTTGTATTAGTTGTGAATACTTAGTTTAAATTCAAAATTGCAAATATCCACTGCATTAGGTGAAACAGTGGACTGATTCAGTGTATAAATTACCCCTGTTTCTTGAATGAAATATAGAGCACTTATTCATGCAGCCGTCTCTCTCTCTTTTACTTAATATCATTCTCCTTAGCACTCTCCAGCAAAACCAACATGCACCAATATATACGGACACAAGTTAAAAGAAGTTATAGAAGTTGCAGGTGTATATTGTTGGTGCTTGAAATGTGAGTTTTGTTGGTGTGTGACATTGTGGGTGCAGCTAGGCGCTAGAGAAACTGAAAGTGAGCAGCCTTAGATTTATTTGAAGAAGAATGGATTGAGATTGACTGGCAATAAAACCACTATTATTCAGGTATCAGGTATGCTTTACATTTTCAGATTGTTTAAGGATGATTGTACTTAAATGTATTCTGTTTTCCAGTATGTTTCTCTTTATAACTGTTAGTGATTCTTGTATGAATTCTTGAATCTGTTTTTTTTCCAGGGATATCGTGTTGAAAAGGACTTTAACATAAAGAGCTTAGCGAGTGGGATAGTGGTTCAGAGAGAATATAAGGCTCGGGTATCGGAAAACTACTTGGAAATCCACTTCTTTTGGTCTGGGAAAGGGACTTGCTGTGTTCTTAGCCAAGGTTCACATGGACCTTTGATTTCGGCCATCAGCACTACCCCAGGTAAAACAAATTGGATATTTCCTTTATATTTTTGGTTGATTTCCTTGTGCTATGATATTGAGTTAACTATTAAGCTTTGATACAGATTTCATAAACTTTTGTTAATATATTATCATAAACCATTCAGATTATGGCTGTCACAGGGTGATCTCCATAAGTAGCTGAAGGAAAATGGTGGAGTTAGTCCCTCAACAGCCATTGACATTGCCAGTTAATAATTCTTGAACTCTTTAAGTGTGATTAGTTTATGATTAATATTAATTACAACTTTAATCATCCACATCAGTGATAATAATAACAATAATAATCAACAAGTATAGAACTCTGCAAGCTCCTGCATGGATCCCAATTGAGATTCACCACTCTCAAGCATCCACAACAAGTGCTCAAACAACACAATTTCACAAGCCACCAAAACTTCTCCACTACTTGACGACCTTTCAATCAGCTCTTGAAAGAGAGGTTGAGAAATGATATCAGAGCTCAAGTAATATCTTCTCCTTGATTTTCCCACATACACTGCTTGAAGATCCTCCGAACCCTTCTCATGAAGACCGGATTCCACGCCATAGGAGGCCGCTATGCTGCTGCTACTACGCGAAAGCTTGCTCAAAGATGGGAGTCTCTTCATGGCTGACCAGAGCTTTGTTAACTTGCCAACTTTGCCCATGTTAAGAGAAGGAATAAGAGTAAAGAGAGAGATGATAAAGAAGGTTTAGAGTATGGTTTGAAAGAGAGAAGGAAGGTTCATATATATGCTATATTTTTGGCTTTTGGTGAGGGTTTTGGGTCATATAGAAAATTTATGAATACTTAATTTGCTATTTGCATAATTGCATACTTCATCTTTCCAACTCCACGTTTTTAGTTTCCTTCTCATTATATGGAAATTTTAATTTCTTAGGTGAGTAACCACATGTGATGATGTAGATTTATACCTAATTTTCATTTCATAGATCGAGTTAAATGGTAAACGCTTTAGCTTCTGTTTTTTTTGTTTGGATCAGCTTACGTGCACTTCAGTTAATCTTCAAGAGAGACTAACACAGCAACTCATTGTTACGGTCCCCTGCTTAAATTGTCTTCAGGGGAGATTAACGTGGCAACCCACCACCATGGTCCCTCACTTAAATCGTCCTTGGGAGATACTAACGTACTAATCCACAGTCACAGTCTCCCCACTTAAATCGCGGATGCTCAGATGAGAAATCAAACCTAACACCATGTGTCTATTTACACTATCCCAAATTCGCCCTAGCCATTTGGACTCCCCACAGATGAGTGCGCTTCATCTTCTTCCATGTGAAAAAATCAAATCAAAATCAAAATTCCTAAGATAGAGTCTTTATGGATTGTTTACAACATGGGATTTCTTATAATTCAAATAATTTAAACAATCATGATCAAATGATAAAGTATGAATGTAAAAGAAAAAATGGGTTAAGAGCATTAACTAAACTAAATTGAGTAAAAGGGTGATAATAGTTTTTGAAAGGTAATTTATGTGGCAAGATCAATTATATAGTTAGGCTAACAACAAAAGTTGTTGGTTGGTGAATAATCACTATGTTCCAATACAAAGAAGGCCTCAAGATGAGTATCTTCTTGATTCATTCATGCATTACTGCTAATTGTATTCAATTTTGTCATTACATTTTATTGCATTTTTGGCTCTTACATGCCACCAACAAACCCTTTTCTCCAATGTGTTTTTATGCACCAAATCCCCTAATATTGTAGTTGTTAATATTATAATGGCTTATGATTTTTATGTTGGATTGGTGGTTTAGGTCCAAAACTAGTAACACTAACTACCCAATTCACCAAATATGACAATACATTACCAACAAGGCATCAATAATCCACAAGTTTTTGTTCTTCAAATCTTGTTTTTTATAAATCAAATATTCCCAAATGGAAATGTCTCTCTCCAAATCTCTTNGATCAAATGATAAAGTATGAATGTAAAAATAAAAATGGGTTAAGAGCATTAACTAAACTAAATTGAGTAAAAGGGTGATAATAGTTTTTGAAAAGTAATTTATGTGGCAAGATCAATTATATAGTCAGGCTAACAACAAAAGTTGTTGGTTGGTGAATAATCTATGTTCCAATACAAAGGAGGCCTCAAGATGAGTATCTTCTTTATTCATTCATGCATTACTACTAATTGTATTCAATTTTGTCATTACATTTTATTGCATTTTTGGCTCTTTCATGCCACCGACAAACCCTTTTCTTCAATGTGTTTTTATGCACCAAATCCCCTAATATTGTAGTTGTTAATATTATAATGGCTTATGATTTTTATGTTGGATTGGTGGTTTAGGTCCAAAACTAGTAACACTAACTACCCAATTCACCAAATATGACAATACATTACCAACAAGGCATCAATAATCCACAAGTTTTTGTTCTTCAAATCTTGTTTTTTATAAATCAAATATTCCCAAATGGAAATGTCTCTCTCCAAATCTCTTTTTTTTGTTTTTTTTAAGCTTGTTCATGGGCATGTGATTTAGAACAAACAGCTTAAATCATTGTAGATTTGGAAGTTTTATATCATGTGCCATCAAAGATTACGAGGTTAGAGAAGAAAGAGCATATATGCTGTTTGAGAACTTTCAAAGAGACATAATATCAAACACATTCTGAACACAATGATTCTAATTTTGCATATTATGAGGAGCATGTTTCTCTCTTGTGGTGACTGATTAAGTCCAATGCGTGACAGTTTGATGATACAAGAGGGAAGTTCTGGAAAAGCAACAAGAAAAATTGCTGAGTGTTATAAATGCCATGGCTAAACCTATTAACAGCTTCCAAATTTCGATTAATTGAATCCCCCGCTTCAGCTATATGACCCTCTTCAAACAGGACCTATGCAAACTGTAATATGTGTTTATGTAATTATTGGTCAAAATGAGATTTTGAGTGTGCTTACATAATTTTCTTTTCTTCTTCGAAGACAGGATGGATTGATCGAAATAATGAGTCACCTTTGATATCCACAAATCATGTTCCATATAGTTTGACATTACTGTAAATTCTGTTTATCATTGCATACTACATTATGTTGCATTGGCTGCTCTATAGCTTCAGCTCCAGCAGCTCAGAATCAGAGATGTTCCTGAAAGTAGCCATCATCACCCTCTATTTCCCCACACTCACAAGCTAATCAAAACATTCAACCTTGGCCACAAATTCAGAGAACCAAGAGAGCATTTTTATTTTATTGCATTAAGTTGCCCCATTGAAATTGGTATCTAATGCAAGAAAAATGTTACAGAAAACATGAATAACTTAGCCAGTAATCATGGTTCCGGCGCCTTGATCGGTCAAAATCTCAAGAAGCAAAGAGTGTTCAAGTCGCCCATCAATGATACTCGCCGTTTTAACCCCCTGAGCCAGTGACCTCACGCAGCAATTCACTTTCGGAATCATTCCTCCACCCACAGTCCCCTTCTCGATCATTTTCTTTACCCCTTTTATGTCAATCTCTTTCACTAAACTTGCCGGGTCCTCTTTGTTCTCTAGAATTCCCGCCACGTCTGTCAACAGAATCAGCTTCTCCGCGCCCAACGCGGCCGCCAACTCCCCCGCCACAGTGTCCGCATTGATGTTATAAGATTGCCCCAGCTCGTCTGCCGCCACCGAGGCGATCACTGGGATATGCCCGTTCTTCACCAACGGCTCGATCACAGTGGGGTCAACGCGGGCCACTTCGCCGACGAAACCTAATTGGGCGGCGTTCGGGCTGGGGCGGGCCATGAAGAGCCGGCCGTCCATGCCGGAGAGCCCCACGGCTGTGGCGCCGGCCTTGTTGATTTGAGAGACTAGGTTTTTGTTCACCTTGCCGACTAACACCATTGAGACGATTTCCATGGTGTTGGCGTCAGTGACACGGAGGCCGTCACGAAATTGCGGCTCTATTCCGAAGCGTTTGAGCCAGGAATTGATCTCGGGGCCGCCTCCATGGACGAGGACAGGACGGAGACCGACAACGGAGAGGAGGACAATGTCTTTCACGAAGGAAGCCAGGAGATTCTTCTCGCTTTGGTTTGGCTTCATGGCAGCGCCGCCGAATTTGACGACGATGGTTTTTCCACGGAATTTTTGAATAAAGGGAAGCGACTCAGAGAGAATGTCGACGCGGAACTCAGCCGGGGTAACGGCACTGACACTGGTACTGATGGTAGAAGATGAACTGAGACATATTGATTTTTTAATTTTGGGGTTAGAAGGAGGGAAAGCAAGAGCTGGGGTTTTAAGGGAGCGTGATTTTGAAGCAGAGGAGAATAATGGGTGTGAAAAGAGATCGATTTCAGGGGCTTTGAAAGCTCTGGCCGCCATGTCCGAAGTAGCGTAGTGCGTACAAAGTGTGAGAGCTCAGTGTAGGTTTTTAAGGAAGAAGAAAAAATTCTTCCACCCCCCTAAAGTTTCGGTTGGTTTTGTTAGGTCCTATAATTTTAAATAGATGGCCATTCTTTCTCTTTAATTGCACAGGAAAAAAATTGACATATTTAGAAGGCATATAGATCGAGCTGCTAAGAGTTCTGCTAAAGGGCATCAGAAAAAAACTTGCCTGGTAATTTTTGTTCATGATTACATAATTATGCTGACATATTACTGAAACATATTTCCTTTTGGAACATAACAGAACACTTTATTACACTAACAGAGAAACAGTGATCGATACTCCTGAGTTTTTAGTTTGTCGTGGTTATACTGATCTGAAGGCTTTGATCCAATCAATCTCAACTCTGAAATCACCTGGTCCAGTTTTAGCACCTGGGACACCTCCTTCTGCATTGACTGATAGAGACATGCTGAGAACACGAGCTGGATTCATCTCCAAGTTAGCATCTATAACATTTCCTCTCCATGTTGGCAAGTATCTAGCGAGAGGAATCTGGGAGGCATCAAAACAACAAATCCAGTTATTCAGTGAAGAGGGAAAATGAAGAACTTTATACATCATGTTTTTTCGTTGTTTGTGCTTTACAAGAAGTATGATAACACCAAAGAAGACAAAATTCATTCATACCACAAAAAATCTTTGAGGACAAAAGATCTTAGTCTGTACATAATCTTTTCCAAGAAACACAAAAACCGGTAAGTTTAGTAATTGATTGCTAGCATTGATTTTCCGGCTGCTTGAGAGGAGTTTTGTGTACTAAATTCTGAATAGAATTAGTTATGGTGATTAGGATTCCATAATTCCATTATGCCATATGAGAGCTAAGTCAGTGGTATCAAGCCTCTAAGAACACCAAGCTTGAAGAAAAAGAAACTTGCCTTTGCAATATACCAGTTATCTTTGGGAACAAAAACAAAAGATTGCCATGAATTATCTTCTTGCTGTCCTGGTGAATTCACCCAATTCTCCGTGTATATCTACATTGCAGTTCAGTGTAAATGCTTCAGTCAATAAAAAATAGTATATATAAGGGCCGCAATTGAGAGATCCAAGCCCTATATTTTCCATCTACTTCTAAATAAAAAGGGGAAAGAAAACTCACAGTAGATATGTAAGATCTTCCATCTCCTTTCAACTTTAGCGCTATTGTATCATATGCATCTAAGTCAATGAAGCCATCAAACTGCACATAAAAATGTCACTCTAGTAATATTAGTCTCAAAGGAAAATCACGTGAATGGAAGGACTAAGGAAGTGTGTGTGGATGTGTGCTCTCATTACTATATATATTCAAGAAGAAAATGAAGGTCAAGAGAAGCAGGTCCTCAACGTGTGAGAACATTCCACAGTCATTTCTAAATCTAGAGCAATAGATCCCTAGCTATTAAAAAAACTGTTCACCTTCTTGGACCGCATCCCACAGAAGCCACCTCGGCTAATGTTCCACTTTGAACCCTCACTTACATCCAGGGAAAGTTTCCCAGAGAAAACCCCTATCAAAGTGATCATTTTCAAAAGTTCAAAATCAAAGCTCAAAAAACAAAAAATAAAAGGTTAATGAAACAGAAGCAGATTGTGCATAAACTTCCATGTATGTTGTAGGTTCAAAATCATGAACATTTGTAAGAAGTAATGAGAAATCATGTTTACAGTTTGTGCTGGGGAAGGTTGGGGTGCTATGATCCAAAAGAAGCAATAGATTTGGAAAATAGCTGAGATTAGTCATTTCATGCTTACGGCAATCCTCCTCATGTATTATGATGGTGACATAATATCATTTTAGAGTTAGGAATTACGATATTGAAGTTTAACAAGTAACATAACTGCACAAATACAGAGAGTGCCATCTGAAGTTAAATATTTCCAAAACACAACCATGTGAAAGTCCGGCGCCTATTAAAAAAAAAATATATATATAATGATAATCACTTGATCAACGATTTCAGCATCACCATATTTTCAAAGCAATTTCTTGGTGAAGTTACTCGCCCTTTGTTGGTTAAGAATTCTTACAGCAGTATATATCTGTTAAGTAATATTCAGAAGTTATAATAACTATTAAACTATGTTACAGGAGGCAAAATCATAATATGACCAGTACCTTTCAATCCATTTCCTGTATCTGCAATCTCTAGAGATGCTGAGGACAACCCTGAAAATGATTAAAACATGAGAAACTACATCAGATGCTCAGCAAAATAAGTTCATGACCTTTATGAGAAACTACATCAGATTCTCAGCAAAATAAGTTCATGACCTTTACAACGTATAATTGCTATCATCCAGAAACAGTTTGGAAATCCATAATTCCTAAATCTTCCATTGGAAGACTATAGTTTCATATATATTTGAACAGATACATTGAAATTGGCATTTTGCATACCTCCATATTCAGAATCTGAATATAAATGCCACTTTTTCAACTCTTCCATCGAATTGAAATTGAATATATGTGTCTCAGTAGGAGGCATCAAATCTTCAGCATTCCATGCAAGAGCTACAATTTTGAAATTTTGAAATAAGTAAAATGGAAGTGCATAATTCAAATCCCTTCCAACAACATCACCTCTTATCTAAATTACCTATAATCAGGAGAAAAAATATCGCATTGCCAGTATACACAATTCAAATCCCTTCCAAACTCACAATTACAAACAAACACAATAACTATAATCTAACGCTACCAAACATGGTTTCAACTAAAATATAGCCTTCAAGTCCTCTCTTCCAAAACTCTATGAGTTCCTTACCATGACAATTACACATTCCTCACACTACAAAGTGCCAAGAACAAAAGGGTAACCCAAAAATCAATAATAAAACATTCACATACACAAGACTTAAACTTGTAGCGTCATACAATACCTTTCTTTGTAGCATTCAAAGAAGCTTGCCACATTGCACGAAACCTTGACATATCTCTTAAACCCTTTAAAGCTCCTGCATAAATGGAAAGAATATCCAAGTCATATCGATATGCTACTAGTTAAAGGAGCCACCTTTACCATTGAAAGTAAATTCCCATATATTATTTACAATTTAGAAGAAGACCCATCAGGAAAATTTTGAAAATAATCAGCTACAAGTTATGGAAAAATGAAAAAGTTTGCGTTTTGATTTGGCTTGTGAAGTTATAAAGAGCTCTATAAACGGTAAAAAAAAAAATGGGATTTTTATGTGACTGGAGGTTGAGAGAAGATAGAGAGAGTAACTCACCAAAGTTTATCAAAAAGCGCCGCCGTGGATCGGTGGTTAAGACTTAAGATCAGTGTCACTCACCTCTTCACCGCCACAGTTCACAATCCAAAATCCATACGCATACCTCGTACGCCGTCGTTTTCTAGTATTTTTGTTTGTAATTTCCAATAATATTGGGTTTTTGGCAAACATAATCACATTAAATATACTTTTTTTTTTAATTCATAACTCTAAAATAATTTTCAACAACTTAAATTTAATTCAAATTTTTTTATTTAAATCATGATATTTTTACTTTTTAAAATTGTTTGATATAATATCAAACAAAGCATTTTCTTTAAACAAATATAAAACCCAAATGGATGATTTTATGTCTATTATCAATTCTTCCTCCCGAATCGAGACGTTCATTAGATATGAACAATAATAAAAATAACCATCTATCAATTATTTAGATATTTTCACAAAAAAAAATTATTAAAAAATTGAGAATGTCTTATGTAGACAAACTCCCTTCTACCTTTGCACCCGAAGGCCAATCTCCGTCTAACCCGAGAAAACCTTTGCACGTCTCTATTACCCTTTGGGGGAGCCTATGCCCCATAGAAACTTCTACCTTGAAAATTAGAGAATGTTTATAACTAACCAACAATGGGTTTGCCGAGTGGTAAAAGTTTGGGCCAAGGGGTTTGCTCCGCCTGTGATCTTAAGTTCGAATCACAAGAACGGTTGTTAATATTATTAGTCACACACCGTAGGACTTATCTTGTTTCGAAAGCTTTATTCGAGGTCGGGGGACTAATTGAGGTGCGCGTAAGCTAGCCCAACCATCACCGGTAACAAAAAAAAAAAAAATGTTTATAACTTGTTAGTGTAAACAAAAAAAAGAGACAAACCACCAACATTGTTTTCTACTTTTTCTTAAGCCATTCATACATGTTAATTACTCACTAATCAAAGATTGGCAATATAATATAATAATTCAATCTTGCATTAGAGGTTAAATTACCCAATTCAGTACAAAAATGAACCGGCCCAGTACAAACTTTGTACAGATTGATGAGAATAATAATTATTTTTATTGAACTTGTAGACAAAGATTGTTGTATTATATTAAACCGCCTTGGAGAATTGTTGATTAGTACTTAATCCTACAATAGATTAATGCCAGTTATTTAACATTAATTTGACTCTTGTAATCAACTTAGAGGCCACGGCATGTTGCCCATAACAGATCCATTAGCACATCACTATCACACTAAGATGGCTAAAAAGATCTTTAATCAACATCTAATTGGTCATTAGAGGTACGGATTAGCTACGAAACGATGACACATGGGGGCTTTAAATCTCCATTCGGAGTTGCTAATTGTGATTAACAATGGGAGTTAGATCAAGCAAATTGAGCAGACTGATTGGAGGTGGTGGTGGTGGGAGAGTTAAGAGACTTGGAGGAGGACGGCCTCGATTGGTGACTCCTAGAGGGTATGTGCCAATTTGTGTTGGTGTGAATGATGACACAAAGCGCTTTATTGTTCACACAAAAGCACTTGGGGATGCTGATTTCTTGGGGCTTCTCTATAAATCAGCTGAAGAATATGGCTTCTGTAATCAAGGAGTTCTCAGGATTCCATATGAAGCAAAGGAGTTTGAAGATTGGATGATCCGACGCACAAATCGAAAGGTTAAAGTTAAACCATTTTAGAAACTGTGTATATATATATATACATACAAATGATGTGATGCATTCGTCCTCTCGATATTTTATCTGGATTTTCTTGTAGTTTAAAAAACTTGTAATATAAAAGATGTAGATGTTGTTTTTGTTTGAGATTCTTGTGTAAATTGATATGCAATCAAATTGTTTCAATATTAATGGGCTATTTTATGTCAAATTTGGTTCTAGTTTGTCTCATAATCTGGCTTGAAGTGAGATAAGTTTGTGGTTGACAGCCTTGACTGCACCAAATTAAATGGTGCAAGATCCCTAAAAGGATATGAATAGCAATACTTAAATGAGGCTGCAGCTGGCAGGCTCTTGGCTGTCAAGTTAAAGAGTGACATTTTGACAAACACTTGGCGTACATAAACTGTTTGAAAGATACTCAACCTTCAACTCTCACTATTTCAGTAACCATTCTTTGAATTCTGCAAAAGGGTTACTGGATTTTAAGTCTCGGTTCATGTTACAACTTGGAGCCATTGTTGCCAATCAGGAGGCAAGCTACAGAACAGAATCACAGAACAACTCCGTGGTCTTGGCCCATTGTTACAGCAATTAGCACACTGATTTTTGAGGCCTACCCTCTGGGCAATTTAGCTGTCTGTGTATAACAAATTGCAATAAAACAGGGCCCAGGTGGGCCTAGGCTTGTAGCTTTAGACCAGAAGACAAAAAAAAAACAGTAGAGAGAGAGTGTAGGTCCAAGATTTACAACTGTAAATGAATTGGACATGGCTCTCAAAAGTAACAAAGCCAAGTTGATGTTGATGATGTGTGATTATTTCACAGGATTGAGTGCCAAATGGGTTTTCAATTTGTACCAAATTTGGATAACAAGAAGCCTGAGATCAATTATTCTTTTGAAGGTTGAAGGCTCAGCAGAATTCCTCAATATGTGCAATATGTTTGTTATAAGTACAATTCTTAAGGTAGCACTCATTCTCATGGTACTAAAATGCTGTTAGGATTTTGGTACTAAAATATTATTAGGGTTTTGGTACATATAACTGCTTTGATTCCTCATATGAGCATATGTGATTTAAGTGGGGANATGTTGTTTTTGTTTGAGATTCTTGTGTAAATTGATATGCAATCAAATTGTTTCAATATTAATGGTTTATTTTATGTCAAATTTGGTTCTAGTTTGTCTCATAATCTGGCTTTGAAGTGAGATAAGTTTGTGGTTGACAGCCTTGACTGCACCAAATTAAATGGTGCAAGATCCCTAAAAGGATATGAATAGCAATACTTAAATGAGGCTGCAGCTGGCAGGCTCTTGGCTGTCAAGTTAAAAAGTGACATTTTGACAAACACTTGGCGTACATAAACTGTTTGAAAGATACTCAACCTTCAACTCTCACTATTTCAGTAACCATTCTTTGAATTCTGCAAAAGGGTTACTGGATTTTAAGTCTCGGTTCATGTTACAACTTGGAGCCATTGTTGCCAATCAGGAGGCAAGCTACAGAACAGAATCACAGAACAACTCCGTGGTCTTGGCCCATTGTTACAGCAATTAGCACACTGATTTTTGAGGCCTACCCTCTGGGCAATTTAGCTGTCTGTGTATAACAAATTGCAATAAAACAGGGCCCAGGTGGGCCTAGGCTTGTAGCTTTAGACCAGAAGACAAAAAAAAAACAGTAGAGAGAGAGTGTAGGTCCAAGATTTACAACTGTAAATGAATTGGACATGGCTCTCAAAAGTAACAAAGCCAACTTGATGTTGATGATGTGTGATTATTTCACAGGATTGACTGATTGAGTGCCAAATGGGTTTTCAATTTGTACCAAATTTGGAGAACAAGAAGCTTGCGATCAATTATTCTTTTGAAGGTTGAAGGCTCAGCAGTATTCCTCAATATGTGCAATATGTTTATTATAAGTACAATTCTTAAGGTAGCACTCATTCTCATGGTACTAAAATGCTGTTAGGATTTTGGTACTAAAATGTTATTAGGGTTTTGGTACATATAACCCATTTGATTCCTCATATGAGCATATGTGATTTAAGTGGGGAATAGTGACGATGGATTGTTGTGCTAGACTCTTCTGAAGATTAGTCGAGGTGCCCGTAAACTAATTCAGACACCTTAGTTTAACAAAAAAAAGTTTTGGCACTTATACATACGTACATATATAAATATATATGCGTACATATATAAATATATATAGGTGAATAGGTGTTGCAAAAGCATCCCTAACTACCCAATCATTTGCATCTTAAACTATATATTTCCTTGAACTTTATACGAAAATAAATTAATGCTAATGTACAGTGCTATTACTAATAGCCCTTTGTTGACAAGTTACTCAAATTATTTAAATAGTTAGACCCACATGACTGTACTGTCTTGCCCTATCTTCCACTCTTTAATTATTCCTAAAACAATTCATTACACATACGTAAAGTCCACTTATGCCTCTTTACAAGTGCTTTCTGGTGCTAACCTAATGCCATTAAACAAAACACTTAAAATTGTATCAGTTACACCAAACTCTGGCTTTTTGGGGTGGTGTAAAGGAGATTGCATCACTACTCACTACAATTATATAAAGAATGCTTTTTCAATAAGCCTTTTTTTTTTTTTTTTTTTTTTTAATATCCAACAAGATGTTGCCAATTCGTAATGACATTATATAAGGATGTAATATCATCTATCATCTATTCACCTTGTTTAGTGGAATACAGAAAATTATGATCATGACGTATTATATAAAGATGTAATATCATCTATTCACCTCATTTAGTGGAATACAGAAAATTATGATCATGACGTATTGTTCTATCCACCTCATTTGGTAAGGTTCAGAATTGTCTCTTGCCGACCTCAAATAGTGAAACTCAGAGTGCGTTCTCCTTACTCGTATGAATATCATCTTTCCAAACAAGTTAAGTGTACAAATTAAATGTCGGACACATAGATTGACTAGCTAGATATTCAGAAAGTGATTCTAGGGAAAAATCTAAAAAAGATTCATGAATCTTTCTAGCTAAAAGTAAAAGAGTAATGGGTTGTGATATTGGGAAGATTTTTTGATAATTCTCCTTTAGAACCTAATAATCCAACGCTTGATGAGAATGAAGAAACATGTTTTTTTTTATGCATATAGAGGTGACAGCGATTTCCATGTGGAAGTCGCTTTGCCACAAAATTATTTAATATACAAAACCCACATAAGAACAAACTTGATAAAAATGAGTACAATATTCCTAATCAAGAACCCTAATTCATCCTAACCAACCTCAAGAACTTCTTCTTCTTCATCAGCCTGGGGGGGTGTAACAAATGGGTTAATCCTCACCATCAGAATTTGCATGCCTATAATTAATATAAATTACAACTTTAATCATCCTCATTAATGATAATAATCAACAAGTATAGAACTCAGCAAGCTCCTGCATGGAACCTAACTGAGATTCGCCACTCTCAAGCATCCACAACAAGTGCTCAAACAACACAACTTCACAAGACACCACAACTTCTCCATTTCTTTCACTGAACCCCCCACCACCGCCATTTCCACTTGATGACCTATCAATCAGCTCCTGAAAGAGAGGGTGGCAAATGGTATCAGAACTCAAGTAATATCTTCTCCTTGACTTCCCCACATACACTGCGTGAAGATCCTCTGAACCCTTCTCCAGATGATGATCAGATTCCATGCTGTTCGAGGCCGCTATGCTGCTGCTGCTGCGCGAAAGCTTGCTCAAAGATGGGAGTCTCTTCATGGCTGACTTGAGCTTTGTCAACTTTCCAACTTTTCCCATTGTTAAAGAGGAAGAATGAGAGAGAAAAGAGAGAGATGATAAAGAGAGTTTTCAGAGTGAATTGAAAGAGTGAAGGTTGGTTCCTATATATATACTAAGAGAAGAAGAAGAAGAAGATTAGCTAGATTGCAATAGAAATGAAAGTTGAATGATAGGCCCACAGGTTTGATATATACCAGCTAAGATTGAGATATTTGAGGTTACAAAACTAGTTGCTCTTTGTTTTGGCTTGGTTTTTGGTGACGGCTTTTGGTTATATAGATAAGTTTATGAATAGTTGGCTTTATTGTGAATTTACATTATTCACCTTTCCAAACTCCCCATGTTTTAAGGTTTTTAATTCTTGTATTAAAACTTGTGAAATTATATTTCTTCAGGTGATTTGAGTACCCACATGATGATGTAGATTTATATCTAATTTTCATTTCATATAGATTGAGTCATGGTAGGTGCTTCCCATGTGAAGAAATCAAACCAAAATCCCATAACCAGGAGAGGTGTCTAAGATATGGCAAAAATATTTAATTTTTTATTATCTTTTCCCACATTCAATGCATATCTTATCATTTAGTTACGAGAGTTTAGTCGAACAGTAGTTGACTCTCATCAAGTCTGAGGTTTGATTCCTTTCATAAACATCTGTATGACCAAATAATATTGTTAGTTTTCGTTTCTAAAGATTGAAGAGGGCTCTAGTTATTGTAATTATATCGAATTAAGCAAAAGAGGAGTGATAATGTTTGAAAACTTTGGGGGTAAATTATGTGACAAGATTAATGATATATGGTGAGAGTGTTGTTGTTGCTTTGTTGGTTCTTGAATATGTTAATGTGTGAATGGCAACAAGAAAAGGTGTTGGTTGGTAACCAGTCACTAGTTCCCATAAGAATAGCCAACCAGAGTTTTGTTTGGCAATAAAGAGAGAGTACAAAAAATGCTTCAAGGTGATGAGCATCTTCTTTATTCATGCGTTACTCCTTATTGCACTCCATTTTGTCACTACATGTTATGGCATTTTTGCTTTTATTATATGTTTTGCCAACTATGAATATCGTTTTCTTCAATGTCTTCTCTTATGCATGGAGCCCCCAAGTAATCAACTAACGCCCCCACTCAAACTATTTTTTTTTTACCCTTTTATGACTTCTTAGAGTTTAAGGTTGAATTTCCTTTTAATAATTCCCAATTATGCTTATTTGGCCTCTTCATGATTCCACACGATTAATTACTACTCTTAACTCGTTACAAGATTGATATGAGTTGGGTGGTTTAGATCATATGTCAGCCACAACAACAACAACATCAACTAGATTTTTAGTTGATTCAGTGAAATCGTCAAACAATAAATCAAAATATAATTACAACGGCAAAGACAAAATTTTACTGGAGTCATGATTCCATTATGTTTCCTAGAGTTTAAGGTTGAATTTCCTTCTAATAATTTCCCATTATGCTTATTTGGCCTCTTCATGATTCCACACTATCAATTATTACTCTTAACTTGTTACAAGATTAATATGAGTTGGGTGGTTTAGATCATATGTCAGCCACAACAACAGCAACAACATCAACTAGATGTTTAGTTGATTCAGTGAAATCGTCAAACAGTAAATCAAAATATAATTACAACGGTAAAGATAAAATTTTACTGGAGTCATGATTCTATTATGTTTCCTACAATTTAAGGTTGAATTTCCTTATAATAATTTCCCACTATGCTTCTTTGGCCTCTTCATGACTCCACACCATTGATTACTACTCTTAACCCGTTACAAGATTAACATAAGTTGGGTGGTTTACGTCATATGCCAATCACAACAACAACATCAACCAGATGTTTAGCGGATTCAATGAAATCATCTAACAGTAAATCATAATATAATTACAATGGCAAAGATAAAATTTTACTAGGGTCAGTACTTATGTGGTCCATTATATGATACAAACCTATGGCTTGGACTATCTCAAGCTCTAATAACTACAACTACTAGTGGTCCTTTTGGTATCTAAATTTGTGTACCAAGCCAAGGCTAGTGAGATGGTTAATTAATTCTAATTAACTACTACCTAATTAGCCATAAATATCATATATTGGAGTTGTTGTCAATCATTTTAGGTTGAATTAGTAGTGGCTTAAGTAAAACTAAATCTAGTAACATTAATCCCATAATTTTGCACTAGCTTTTATTTTATTTCATCAAATCATGTTTTTGAAACACAATATTCCCAAATAGAAGGGCCTCTCTCTTCTTATTATGGGTATCATGACTCCAAATCTCTTGAGTAGGATTTGCTAGGAATCCAATTAAATCATTGTAGATTTGGAAGATTTATATCATGTGGGCATTCAAGATTATGAGGTGCTAATCATGTTTGATGCTTTCTTAATTAAAATTAGTGAAGGGCATATATGCTCTTTGAGGCCTTCAAAGGAGACACAATATCAAACACATTCTTAACATGGTGATCCCTATGTTGCATATAATGAGAAACAACATGTTTCTCTCTTTGTGGTGAGTGATTAAGTCAAATCTAGTCAACCACTAGCATCCCATGTGGAATACTTACAAGGGGATTGGAGGTTAAAAAAATTGCGTCAATTTCTCTTAATCTACCCTTAAAACCCAACATATAACCCCTCCCCTTGTGGTCGGATAACAAACCCTTTAACCACTAATGTTAGTTAGACTTAAGGGTCTTGTGTTCGTGTCGCAAGAAAGACAATTATCGGGTTTACCCCAAAAAAAAAAAAAAAACCAACATAGAATAGGTTGGATAGGTTTGAATTGATATATATAAGCCCATTAACTTTTATTTAAGATTGGGCCTAAGAAGTCAAGCCCATCAAACGTGTGGGCTTTAATAATAAGCGTAGCCCAACCATCAAAGTTTAATCAAACTCAACAATTCGATTCCTTTAAATTTTTTTCTTAAGGCACTCTTAAATTCTATAAACACCCTTTATTGTATTTTTTTTGTAGGGAATAACATTTCATTCCTTTCACTTATATTATATACTCTTCACCATTGTTATTCCTAAAATAAAATTTTTAATAATTAAATTGAAAGTTCAAAATAATTAAAGTTGAAAAAATATCCTTACAAATAATCTCATAAACATAATACAGTTAAATAACACAAAAATATATATAAATTAAAACAGTTACTAATACTTTAAAGTTTATATGTGAAACTATTAAAAACACACAGTTTTGCATCGTTTATAACTTGACATATCCGGTTGCAAATCTTCTTTTTCCATTAAACTATTTTTTTGCCCCTAATAATAATTTGAATAGCATAAAAAAAGAAAATAGAGTTTATGAGAGAATAATGGTGTGTCAAAAGTATTTATAAAGAATAAAAAAATAAAATTAATTCTAAAAATTTACTACAAGAATAAATTTGTTATTATATGCAATACTCTATTAAATGGATATTCGTTTCGTGTTTGAATTGATTCTTCTTGGGTTAATGCTTGAGCGGTTAATGGGACACGATCCAAATAAGCCTTGTTTATTGGTATCCAAACAAACCGCACTCCTTCGTATGCATCAAGAATCCATTGATGGGAAGGGGGAAAACTTGAACTTGGGTGATCTATCCACGACTTGACGAAGCTTGGGTGAAACTAAGTGGAGGTCCAAATTGACCCTCTGAACATGGTTTTAAAACCCCGCCCAGCCCGATCGGTTGAACCGATTTGATTGGGAATCAGTAGCTAGACTCGATTAATGTTAAAAATCGAAAATAGCAATTGACCCACTTCCACCTGCGGTTGAATCGGTTTTTTTTCCAACGCACCACCAGTCAAACCGGTATAACTCGGGTTACTACAATAAAATATTAAACAAATAATAAAATTAAAAGTAACCATTTTTAGCTTTTCTCTTCTCCCTTTCTCATTTTTATTTGACAAAACCAACATCAACAGAGAAGAAAAATTAAAAAAAAACCATTAAAATTAAAATCTACATTTAAAAAAAAATTGTTTTTTCGGGTGATGTTATCATGCTAACATCACGATCTAACCCGTAGAACCTACGATCCGATGGCTTGGTCGGGTTGCCTCCCGAGTCGGGTTTTAAAAACCTTGCCTTTGACTGATGATCAAATATAGATGCATTTACTCATAAAAAAGGTAGATCTCGATAAAATAAATTAAGAAAAAAAAGAACCTTCCTATATAACCAATGAATTACAACTCTATTGTACCGTAATTTAATTCATTAAAAAAAATGGATAATTTCTTTTAATTAAAATATTATCAAAACAAAAAAATGTTTAAATAAATTTTAATATTTTTTAAACTTATAAATAATAACCAATTTCTCTCTCTCAATTATCCAACTTGAATGTGTTCAACAAGAGAGAAGAGTAGATCAAAACCGCACATTTATTGGGGATGGCTCTGTGATGATGCCACGTACATACTCGAATCAAACAGATGGCTCCACAGTATCCTGCAGAAGTACACGTGTAATTACAAGAGCACTCCACAAAGCTGATGATTTTTCCAGATTTTTCAAGCTCCACCCCGAAGATCTCTCGAACTTTCCCTTCTCTATTTCTATATATTCCCCGAAGCTTTCTCGGCAACCAAACAGAAAAATAAGTTCTTGCGCACGCTAAACAAGTCTTCTATTTTCTCGCACTTTCCCTCGTTTTCTAACATATTCTCTCACCTGTCCAAATTCAAGTTTCTTAAAAGGTAAGAATTGCCTGCGGATAGGATAGCAAATCTTTTCTTTTGTTTCAATCAAATTTTGTTGTTTTCTTTTTAAAAAAAGAAAATCAGAACTTTGGTTTCTAGCAATCTAGTCGTCTGGTCTTGTAATTCGACAATTTGAAATCAAGCATCAAACTTTCCCGACAAACAAACAGAAAAAATATCTCTTCAAGTACTTGGTAGCTACTCGGTCACATATTCGTCCCAATGGTACTCTTCAAATAATGTTTTCAAAGGGTCATTCAACTGTTGTAAGCCATTATTCTAACTGGTAATTGGATTTCCAGTGGTGTGTTAACCAACAATCAAGTCTCGGCCTTTTCTCGGGAAACAAACAGAACAAATGTAATGTCTTTAAGTACTTGAGCAAAACTCTTTGCATATTTAAGTTTTTCTTTTTGTTTTGTGAAACTTAGAAAGTCATGTAATTGAGTCATTTGATATGCAGATCAGACGAAAATGAGCAGAGTGGTCGATGATGTAGCAGCAGCAGTGAACCATTTGTTTGGTTTTCCTGAAACAATGGAGAAATTGGTGTTCCATTCAAGGTCGAATCCTGAGGCAAATGAGAACAAGGGAGTTGGTAGCAGTCCTGTGGACATTTTGGACTCTTCCAAGGAGTACATTTTCTATATGGATGTTCCTGGTCTGTCCAAATCTGACATTCAGGTAAGTTTTTGCAGAAATTTTACCCTCAAATTAAAAGCTTTTTCAGTAAGAGCATGGTTTTAATATATAAGTTCTGTCGATCCAATGGCAGGTGACGGTTGAGGATGAGAAAACACTGGTGATCCGAAGCAATGGGAAGAGGAAGCGCGAAGACGGTGAAGAGGAAGGCTGCAAGTACATCAGGCTTGAGAGGAGAGTACCGCAAAAGGTGTTGAGGAAGTTTAGGTTGCCTGAAAATGCCAATGTGTCAGCCATCACAGCCAAATGTGAACATGGTGTTTTGACTTTGGTTGTTGAGAAGCTTCCTCCACCACCCAAGTCTAAGACTGTCGAAGTTGCCATTTCTTGAAGAAGTGGAATAGATTCAAGAGTTTGTGTAAAATGGGTTGTCTTTAATTTGCGTCAAGAAGTAGGCCTAGGAAGTAGGCTTTTGTATTCTGGTTGTGTAAGTTTGAATGGCATGCAAACATTGTTTTATGGATTTTTTGTAGTTCTATGATTCTATCTGAATGGTGGTTTAACCTGTTTTGAAAGGGATTTTGGCTCTTTTTCTAAGGGCTTAGAAACTGAGTTCACGAATGAACTACATGTAAACCTAAAATGAATTTGATAAGGTGAATATGACTTACAACATAGATCATTTTCAGCACAAGTGAACACAAGATGGGTGAAAAAGGAAAAAAGAATGAGATTGTACAAACACCATTTGAAGTTTGAACTTCACTGTGGTGCTGCAGTAGTCCATCCTCGCTATAAAAAATGTTACAGAGAAAAAGAGAACAAAATTGGAGGTATAAGTTGAATCATCAGCAGAGGAGTTCAGCCATGATATATTTCTTCCTCTTGTTTTGTGATCGTAGATCAGGCACAGGTAGAAGTACCTTTGGCTGCATGAATGAACAATTACCGGAGGTGTGTAGTGCTTACTTAGATGACTTTTTTTTCTTCCTTGACTTGGACTTTTTCTTTCCTGTGGGTTCTGTTTCAGTGGGACTATCCTCATTCAGCAAATGTTCATAGTCTTCAAGACTTGCAAAGGGGGTGGCTGCAGACTTCCCACCAGACTTCCGTTTTCGTTTTCTTTGATTGAGTTCATCTTCACCATCACTTTCNTTAAAAAAAATGGATAATTTCTTTTAATTAAAATATTATCAAAACAAAAAAATGTTTAAATAAATTTTAATATTTTTTAAACTTATAAATAATAACCAATTTCTCTCTCTCAATTATCCAACTTGAATGTGTTCAACAAGAGAGAAGAGTAGATCAAAACCGCACATTTATTGGGGATGGCTCTGTGATGATGCCACGTACATACTCGAATCAAACAGATGGCTCCACAGTATCCTGCAGAAGTACACGTGTAATTACAAGAGCACTCCACAAAGCTGATGATTTTTCCAGATTTTTCAAGCTCCACCCCGAAGATCTCTCGAACTTTCCCTTCTCTATTTCTATATATTCCCCGAAGCTTTCTCGGCAACCAAACAGAAAAATAAGTTCTTGCGCACGCTAAACAAGTCTTCTATTTTCTCGCACTTTCCCTCGTTTTCTAACATATTCTCTCACCTGTCCAAATTCAAGTTTCTTAAAAGGTAAGAATTGCCTGCGGATAGGATAGCAAATCTTTTCTTTTGTTTCAATCAAATTTTGTTGTTTTCTTTTTAAAAAAAGAAAATCAGAACTTTGGTTTCTAGCAATCTAGTCGTCTGGTCTTGTAATTCGACAATTTGAAATCAAGCATCAAACTTTCCCGACAAACAAACAGAAAAAATATCTCTTCAAGTACTTGGTAGCTACTCAGTCACATATTCGTCCCAATGGTACTCTTCAAATAATGTTTTCAAAGGGTCATTCAACTGTTGTAAGCCATTATTCTAACTGGTAATTGGATTTCCAGTGGTGTGTTAACCAACAATCAAGTCTCGGCCTTTTCTCGGGAAACAAACAGAACAAATGTAATGTCTTTAAGTACTTGAGCAAAACTCTTTGCATATTTAAGTTTTTCTTTTTGTTTTGTGAAACTTAGAAAGTCATGTAATTGAGTCATTTGATATGCAGATCAGACGAAAATGAGCAGAGTGGTCGATGATGTAGCAGCAGCAGTGAACCATTTGTTTGGTTTTCCTGAAACAATGGAGAAATTGGTGTTCCATTCAAGGTCGAATCCTGAGGCAAATGAGAACAAGGGAGTTGGTAGCAGTCCTGTGGACATTTTGGACTCTTCCAAGGAGTACATTTTCTATATGGATGTTCCTGGTCTGTCCAAATCTGACATTCAGGTAAGTTTTTGCAGAAATTTTACCCTCAAATTAAAAGCTTTTTCAGTAAGAGCATGGTTTTAATATATAAGTTCTGTCGATCCAATGGCAGGTGACGGTTGAGGATGAGAAAACACTGGTGATCCGAAGCAATGGGAAGAGGAAGCGCGAAGACGGTGAAGAGGAAGGCTGCAAGTACATCAGGCTTGAGAGGAGAGTACCGCAAAAGGTGTTGAGGAAGTTTAGGTTGCCTGAAAATGCCAATGTGTCAGCCATCACAGCCAAATGTGAACATGGTGTTTTGACTTTGGTTGTTGAGAAGCTTCCTCCACCACCCAAGTCTAAGACTGTCGAAGTTGCCATTTCTTGAAGAAGTGGAATAGATTCAAGAGTTTGTGTAAAATGGGTTGTCTTTAATTTGCGTCAAGAAGTAGGCCTAGGAAGTAGGCTTTTGTATTCTGGTTGTGTAAGTTTGAATGGCATGCAAACATTGTTTTATGGATTTTTTGTAGTTCTATGATTCTATCTGAATGGTGGTTTAACCTGTTTTGAAATGGATTTTGGCTCTTTTTCAAAGGGCCTAGAAACTGAGTTCACGAATGAACTGCATGTAAACAGAAAATGAATTTGATAAGGTGAATATGACTTACAACATAGATCATTTTCAGCACAAGTGAACACAAGATGGGTGAAAAAGGAAAAAAGAATGAGATTGTACAAACACCATTTGAAGTTTGAACTTCACTGTGGTGCTGCAGTAGTCCATCCTCGCTATAAAAAATGTTACAGAGAAAAAGAGAACAAAATTGGAGGTATTAGTTGAATCATCAACAGAGGAGTTCAGCCATGATATATTTCTTCCTCTTGTTTTGTGATCGTAGATCAGGCACAGGTAGAAGTACCTTTGGCTGCATGAATGAACAATTACCGGAGGTGTGTAGTGCTTACTTAGATGACTTTTTTTTCTTCCTTGACTTGGACTTTTTCTTTCCTGTGGGTTCTGTTCCAGTGGGACTATCCTCATTCAGCAAATGTTCATAGTCTTCAAGACTTGCAAAGAGGGTGGCTGCAGACTTCCCACCAGACTTCCGTTTTCGTTTTCTTTGATTGAGTTCATCTTCACCATCACTTTCATCTTCTGCATCACCGATATCAACACCTACATCATCGTCACCACCAACATCATCAGCAATAGCATCAAAATCTTCTCCCTCAGCAATATTAGAGGGGGCATCGATCTCTGCATCACTAACATCACCAACCAAGTCCTCATCATCTTCATTGGCAACTTGGTCCAAATCGTCGTAATCATAATCACCATCTGCTTTCAAAGAAGGATTGGAGGAGTCCAAAATATTTTCAATCTCTTCATTATCGCTGTCATCATCACCAACACCCCCATCAAGCAACTCGTCGGCCATCTCATCTTCTGCTCCCTTCTTTTTCTTCTTCTTCGGTTTTTTGGTAGAATTCATTTTATTCATATAAAATTTGTGGAAGACAAGATCTTCTGGTGACACATCCATTTCACCCAATGACAGAATCTCTGGCCCAATTAAGTTGTGGTTCATATCAAGCTGGGAAAAGAAATGGTGTGTTAGCAACATAAATTAGCGGGGTTTGATAGATGGGCAATTCCCTGAGTATAAACAAGTAAAATCTAAAGACATTGATCACTACACTGGAAGAGTTTAAGCTGACCTTCTTGGCAGGTTCAATTTGGGAACCACCATGCCATGTACTTTGCTTTGGCTTTTTCTCCATGAATTTGTCTAGAAAAGCTGTAAGTGTTAGGTCATTTAATGGGTTTCCATTGTATACAATATTGGCTCCAGAAAGAAGTGTCCCAGCCATGGTTGCAACAGATGGGTGAGCATGTGAAGCCAGTACCATCAGCTCCCACCAGCTTGCACGATCCGCATTGCTGCCATTTCATTGACAAAGAAAATAAGGGACAAATAGATGTATAACATGAAGAAAAATGGTAGCTAAAAAAGTAGGCCACATCATCTCAGAAGGGGGAAAAAAGGTAAAAGGAGAGAAAATTAAAAAAATGAAATACCAATAAGAAGGTTCTCTGTGCCGGGGATCATATCCTCCAGGCATGGAAGACTTGTTAGATGGACGAGGTTGCTGTGTGTCACGATCAAACTGTGTTTCAGATTTCTGAACCATTTTGGTATTATCTCTGATTAGAAATTCCCCTGATTCATCTGAAACATCATCTTCAGAATCGGTGGCTGGATGGTCATCTTCATCTTCTGAAGATTCACCATCAGAGTTGGCATCATGAATGCCATTAACAGTTTTGTCATTGTTTTCTTCTTTCCTCAATGCAGCACTAGGTTCATTATCAGTCTCTTCTACAATATCTTCAAAATGTTCAATTTCTTCATCAACTGACTCATTCTGCAGCACCATATTCCTGATAGGGGGAAAATAATTAATTATCAATTGAATCTTCTTCAGTGACAGAACTTAGAGCAGGGCATATCTAAAATAACACAAGCCTTACCACAACGGGGGCCTTGCTTTAAGAACTTCAGAGAGGAGGAACAGGCATCCACAAGCATATTGAGGTGGTTGTTGAAGTGCAACCTGTTTTATTTAATTGACAATCTTTGTTAGGTGTAGCACATAGAAAGCTATAACTCATTACAAACTAGAGAATTTAAATTCACTCATTAATTTTAATGCCACCATTAATGTTTCCAGGTTGCTCAACACAACATGATAATACTATATACACATCAAGGTATGAACTTATTATTGCTATATCAACCAAGCAAAGAGCAGAAGATGTCAATAAGTGAAACATAAATTAGCATATACTAACATAACATGGGCCCGTACGCAAAGAAGGAAAAGAAATACATTATCAAGCACCAGAGATGACACGAAGGCAAAGAAGAAAAAGAAATAGATAATTCATTCAGGCACCACAGATGACAAAAATTTACAAAAGACAAAACCTAGGAGAGATGCTTGGGCATCTGCTAAAGGAAAAGCTACACAGAGTAAGAACTAGCAGCATTTACCTGCAATACACGCTTTGCAAAGGCTGCTATACGCTTCAAATTTACATCATTCTTCATGGCTCTGAGAAGAAGTCCAATGAACATTTCTGCCTGAAAACCAGCCACATAAATAGCCCAAAATATTAAACAACCGATTCTTAGAAAAATAGATGAATGACAAAAAACCACCATCAACTCATCCTAAATCAACTATGAATATAAATCATGAAAGAGGAATATGAATTTCAGGCGGGAATAGATTGCAGTCAAAGAATTAACAACGAGGTAATGTTGGATCAAGCAGTGATGTCCATCAACTACATCATTGTCAAGCTTTCAAATATAATTATCCACATATTCATTGTAGAGCATGAATAAGCATGCACTGTCCCAAATACATATAGTAATTGCAGAACTCCTTGCCTTAGAAGAATTCATGGCAGCAGGAAGAAGAAGTTTTGAGTACAGAGCACGGTAAAACCGATCGCTGACAATCTGATTCTTGGAAGAAATTTTATCAAGAAGCATCAATGCTTGAACTCCGACATTAAAATTTTTTGAATGAACCTGCACAAAAGGGTTATATTACATCAAGTGCCACGGTGACAATAACGCTCATCCATCAGTAGCTCTACTACCTACAAGAAAAAGTTATATGACAATCCAACAACAATAAACTAGCAGTAATCTTTGAGCTTACCAGTTTGAAGAGCATTGGTGTTTGGACCTCAATAATGTCATCAGCCTCATTACTTGAAACATAAGGAAATGCTCGGTTGACTCCCTATAAATATGAACAGGAAAGCATAAGTAAATTAGAAAACTTCTAGAGAAACAATTCTAAAGGCACAAAATTTCAGCATATCAAAAGTGTTTAAAAAAGCCAATGAGAGTAAAGCATTTTGCTTTACTGTCACCTCAGCAGGGACAAAATATGCCTATACTGACCATCAGCAGAGCTGATAGAAGTCTTGAATCCAATTCAATGTGAGATTCTGATGAATTTTTTTCTTTGTTCTCCTTTGAAAAAGTAGAAGATTGTTTATCCTTTGTTTTGGTGTTCTTATCCATCTTTTCACCATCACCGGCCTCAGTAATTAATACCTGAAATCCAGATAGTTAAATCTTTTATTTCTGACATTTTATCCAGTCAGAATGAACTCTAGAATTGTAAGCTCAACCACATCAGTGAAAATCCAAATCTACCTTGAACAGTGCAAAATACACATCTATCAAACGTTTTGCCACCTTTGGTCCATCTCCTTTGTGGCTAAGACGAATTTGACTCAAAAAGTTAACCTGCATCATGTACAACAGGGTATCCAAGCTAAATTTATTCATGGAAACCATGACTCTAAATTATGCCACTGGCAAACTCCATATATCTAGAAACTCAATTCATTGCACAAGAATGATTGGACATACACCATGGTACTTTGCTCTCAATCCCAAATGAGGCCGAAAGAGAAACGTATCCACTTCAGTTATCACCACAGCCTGAAAAAGGAAGCTTTTACTAATTACAATCATAAGATGTGTTGCAGAAGCATATTAGAGCATAAATTTTACACATAGAACATCTTACATCAATTCAATTGCTTGATGCAGATTTCAACTAGAGGTAAACTTTTGAAAGACTAATCTATGGGAGCTGAATCCACAAAAGCACACATATTAATTATTTTCCTTCATGTACTGTTTTCTACAAATCTTTTCTCTTTTCTTCGGCACGTGAAAATGCAACAAATTATCAGTGCGATATCCAAATGTTCATTGAAAAATGGTGGGTAGTATATGTTACATATTGAATACAAAATGAGGAACAAAAGTGTAAATCAGTAAACATTTTTCTTCTATCATCACAAACTCCAACTACCATGAACTTCAGTCTGTCAAAGTTGTTATATAAATAAAACAGATGTGATAAAGCAGTATGAAATAAACACATAAGCCCCAAAAAACTAACATTGGAAAGAAACTATACTACAATTGTACCTTCATATTTGGGTGGTCAGACAGAAGATTCGATAAGTGAAAATCAGCATTGGATGCACCTTTATTTTGGGGATCTCCCAGCTGTAAGTAATTAAAACATGAGAACAAACAAAAAAAAGGCTTCCAGAGGCTGTATCAAATTCAAGAACCAGCTTCAACAAAAAAATTTGATGTTTCAGATGAGGCCAAAATTCATTCGGAACTTACTTTATTAACTAGTGCAGAAAGCAATCTGTGCTCTTGCTCTGATTTGCTTGTCAGCAGTGCATAAATGTTCTAAAGGATAAACCAGCATTCAGTCAGACATTTACAATATGACAGAGGTATCTAGTTGGACAGAAAAACCACAGAAGAAAAGAATTGTAAAAGCTAACCTTCAATGCCTTGGTTTTTAGTACAGGTAATACATCTCTAGACGCTTCCTCTAGTGCCAAAACAAAACGCTCGTATCTATAATAGTCATGTACATCACATCAGAACTGGGGAGTGAAGTTTGTATAATGAACGTAGTCCAAATGAATACAAAACGATGTGGGTCACAGGCTACAGAGAAAATCTAAGATGAATGCTCTGATTTAGCATTAAGCGGGCTGAAGTCAAGTAAATTCTTAGAATCTAATGACTATCTTATATAAAAAGATATATGCACAGAGAACGGCAATTTAGTCACCGGAGATTGGAAACAAGAGGACTCAAAAACGTTGCCCATTAAAATATTATCAAGAATCAATGGTTGCTTGGCAATACTACAAGGAATGGTTGTAAGGAAAAAAGAAATGAAGATAAAGCAGTTAACCATACCTTTGCTTCAGGCATTCCTCATAATACCAGAAAAGCAAAAGGGAATAACCATCTTTTGTCTCAGGGAGATTATTTAATGGCCGCTGTACAAGAGTCTTCAGCTTACGATCAGGTAATAAACTGTTAAACAAAAATATGAGTGGTAAATCAATGCACCACTGAAGCATAAAACTCATTGGTATCCAAAGTAGACATACAGACTTAAGTAGTTAAGCCAATAAAATCCAAACTAAGCACCTTTTTCTAGTAAGAATTCTAAATGTGCTCAAACTCACATATTCACCATTTCAATAGTGGAACAATAACTATTCACTGATTTCCATAGTTGGTGAACAAATTGATAAAAGTGGGTGGGCGGGAGATACAGAGCGAGAGAGAGAGAAAGAGGGGAGACACTCTAACCTTGAAATAAACAGTTCTTTTAATGCCTCAAATCCTGTCAAAGCATGCCTCTTTCCCACTTTAGATGATACCATTCCTGAAACACACGAAAAGTTCAGTTAAAGCCAACTCAAATATTCAAACCCCTGACAACTATTTAAACCATGCAGTGGTGACAGAACACTAGAACCTCCGAAAATATGAGGTAATTGCATTGCAGTATCAATATCAATAGAGGAAAAAGAAGAATTAGTTCTCTCAGATTGGAGCAAAACTTATATGACAATGAAATAAAAGCCATAAACCATGAATTCAACAAAAACATCGAACTTTTCTTAATTTTTAAGATATCAACTTGAAATTTTAAAAACACAGCCCTTCTGTAAATTCTCTTGTAATTTCTGTATCCTCCATGTTTAAAAGCTTAACAACAAACATTCAGAACTCCAATGAATAAAGCCTAACTACTACACCCAACAAAAAACATAAAACCATTACATAATTCACAATTAAACAACAAATAGAATCATTCCACAATTTAAACACAACACTCTGAAACTCAAAAAATAATATAAAAAATCATATATCATACCCAAGAGAGCATCAAGTGACCTCAAATTGGCCACAGGATTATCCCCAACCATAACACTAAAGGCAGAAACTTTATCAGCTGCAGTCCCTGACCTCTGTGTTGCCACCAACATTTTAATGTCGCCATTTTGCCCCCTTGAACCTTCATAATCACTAACATACTGCCACAGAAGCCTCTCTCCCAACTCCCTCTTCTTCTCCACCTCTTTCAACTCCACCACTCTCTTGTTACCAGTCTTCTCTTCACCACCCAACACTTTCTCCTCCAACTCTTTAGCATCCACATACCACACCCCAAGATTGCTAGCTTTCACTAAGGGCAGTTTTGGCATCTTCTTAAACTTATCATTACTAACACCACCCCTATCAAGTGACAGAACTGGTGGCTTTGGCACTGGTTTTGAGCTAAATGTTTCATTTTTATTTCTGGGTTCTTGCTCAGAATTAGTTTTTTTATTGTTTTGGTAGTGATTCTTGGTATTTGGCATCTGGGTGCTTTTCGGGTCTTTTTGAAATTGAGTTTTGTCATTGTTTTTTGATTTATCGGAGTTGGATTTTTTGGAGGTTTTGTGGGGTTTAAGAGGGCCAGTTTTGCGGAAATCAGAGTCGTTGAAGCCTACGGAAGAAGAAGAGAGGCCTAAAGTGGAAGCAAAAGAGGCTATATCTGATTTTAAGAGATCTATGTCTTGTTTGTTTTTGGTTTTTGAAGGGTTTGAATCAGACATTTTTGCATATAGAGAGTAATTGCATAGACTATAGAGACGGAAGGGGTTTAAAGGTGAGGCTTTTAGGGTTTTGTGAAATTTGCAGCAAGAGAGTTTGGTTGAACAGAGTAGGAGAACGGCACCGTCTTGTGCATCCTTGAGAAAACATGAAGATAGATTGTGGGTGAATGGTAGATCATTACTCATATTGAAAGGGTTATACAATATTAATCATCTTTAATATAATTATAATTACAAAATTATGATTTATTTATACAAAATATACTAAAATTATTTTCATCTAAATTTTAGTGTATTATAATTGTGATCCCTCAATAAATAATTGAACTTTTACCCTATGTATAGTGTATAAACAATTCAAATAAAATTCATATTGAAATCTTGCACACATTTTGCTAATAATATGTATGACATTGTCATTCCCAACTTTGTATTATCAAATAGCTTATGTCAATTTGTATGTAGTATGCATTGTTTTAAAACCCGACAGGAGGGCAACTCGTTTTGCTGTCTGGGTCACGAGTCAACCAGTCCAACCGATAACGTCAACGACAATTTTATTTTTAAAAAATTACATATTATCCATTAAATTTTAATATATAACAAAAATTCCCCTAAAAAGTTTAAATTTGTCCCTAAAATTTTTATTTATTTAAAAAATACCCCCAAAAAATTCCCAATTAATCTCTAAACTTTTGACATATCTCCAAAGCACTCTTATAAAATTACAAGTAACCCTTATAATTTTAAAATATTACGAAAACCCCCCTAAAACCTAAACCGGACTAGAGAAGCTGTCGGGTCCTGGTCTGACCGGCCAGTCCAATTTTTAAAACAGAGGTAGTATGTATTATATGCTTCTTATGAAGCAATGCCAATATACTAAGAGGAAACACCCCTCATTTTTTACCTGTTACACCCATGGGAATGTTTTGAAAAACCCTTCAACCTCGTACACTCTCCACCCTTGCTGCTCTTCTCAGTTCTCACGACGTTATGGAAGTAGGTCGTGACACTCTCCCACACCCATTTGTATGCATGTCCTCGTGCCTATCATGCTCGCAAATATTTAGAAAAATTAACCAACCCAAACTTAATTTCAAATTGTTAGCATGTGAATTGCTAGATTCGATGATTTTTTGCAATCTAGGGTTGTGTCAATATATCACGTAAAATTTGTAAACGTATAACATGAAACTTGTAAACCAAAAATGTTAAACTCGTAAAATACATTTGTATAATGTTGCATAATACGTATGGCATAAATATAAAGCTCAAAAGATCTTCATATTCTATGTGGGCCGGATCTAACAATAATACTAAATCCAGCCCATGACAACCCAAAGGGATAAATTCGTCATTAAACAAACTAGGGTTTCTCAACCCTAAATATCACCTTTATAAACCACACAATTACAGTTTCTTCTTTCTTCTCTGAACGAGCCCTTCTCTTCGCACATCTTTTTCTCCACTCTCCAGCTCTCAATCTCTCACGAGACTCTAAACCCACTTAGGGTTTACTACAGAGAAGCAGAAAACAGGGCAAAAATGGCGTCATCTAATGCAACTGCACCAAGGCAGCTGTCTCAAAAGGAGGCCGACATTCAGATGATGTTGGCTGCTGAAGTCCACCTTGGAACCAAGAACTGTGACTTCCAGATGGAACGTTACGTCTTCAAGCGCAGGAATGATGGTATATTTTGTTGAAGTCCCTCTAATTTCGATATTGTGTATATTGATCCGTTTGCTCTTATTGAATTAAGTAAGTTAAGTTGTGTGGTTTTTCATTTTGCTGTTTGTTTTTATGTTTTTTGTGCTTGTATGATACGTTGATCCGTTGAAGCTAAGATATTTTGGTTTTTAATTATGTTTTAAACGGTGGCATATGTATTCATGGTTGTTCTGCAGGTAGCTCTGTGTCTTTAAAGTAACTCTTTTTAGGGGATTTTTCTTTATTTTTTTGGTATGTTTTGTTGGAATTTACTGGTATTCGTATGAGAAAATGCTAGAGTTAGTGGGAGATCTGATATGTTGGATTCTTAGGTGCTATACTTGCTCTTGAGGAAGTATTGAGTACATCAAAGAGCAGTTGTATTTCAATGTGTAAAGAGTGTTGTGACTGTTAATTAAACATTTTATAGTCTTGTGTTCAATTATGTTCTTTTTTGCATTTGTAATTGTTTAGGGAATTGAGATTCTGAATGTTTTGTTGGAGTTAACGTGTCTGAGGATGTTCTCTTTTAATGTTGAGAATTTTTTTTTGTTTGGATAAGATGTATAGGCGTTGAGAATATTGAAGGATAGAATAGAAAATTTTCAAATGTTTTTCATTATGTTTAATTGACATGCGAGGTTGTACAATTTCTTTGATTTTTCATCGAGTACAAAGTTGTAAATGTTGTCAAATTTTCTGGTCCATTATAATGTGGTTAATAGAGTTGGTGTGGTGGGTCTGCCCTTAGGGTGCTATTGAACTAGATGATTTCTGTATGTTGTTTTACTTGCCATGTTCAGGATGTTATAACACATGATTCGATGGCCTTTGGCTTAACGCTTGTGAAATCTTGTGGGCTGAAATCTGAGTAGTAATATGTTATCATGTGTATAATTATAAGTTCACTACTTCATTCCTAATTTTTGTATTCTTTTTGCATAGGTATTTATATCATCAATCTTGGCAAGACATGGGAGAAGCTTCAGATGGCAGCCAGAGTTATTGTTGCCATTGAGAACCCTCAGGACATTATTGTCCAGTCGGCTAGGCCCTATGGTCAAAGAGCTGTTCTGAAGTTTGCCCAGTACACTGGTTGCCATGCTATTGCTGGAAGGCACACTCCTGGTACATTCACCAACCAGCTTCAGACTTCGTTCAGTGAGCCTCGTCTGCTTATCTTGACTGATCCAAGAACCGATCACCAGGTATGTGGTATTCCATTTGTCGTATAACTAATTTGTTTGGTTGCTATTCCACTGGATATCTGCACTTTCTGGTTATGTACACTATAACCAACACTATGACATTGCAGCCTATTAAGGAAGCAGCTCTTGGGAACATCCCCACCATTGCCTTCTGTGATACTGACTCACCAATGCGTTATGTTGATATTGGTATCCCTGCCAATAACAAGGGCAAGCACAGCATTGGGTGCCTCTTCTGGCTTTTGGCTAGGATGGTTCTGCAGATGCGGGGCACAATTCGTCCTGGCCATAAGTGGGATGTCATGGTATATATCTATCAAACATTATTATTCAACTCTTCTGTATTGATGATATTCAATCATATCTTTCCTCCTGTATTTTCATTCAAGTGTTTTCCAGAAGTTGACATGGATTATGTTCATATCTTTACATTGAGCCAACTTTCCTGCGTTTAATCTATGCATCTTTACTATGTGCAGGTGGACTTGTTCTTCTACAGGGAACCTGAGGAGGCCAAGCAAGCTGAAGAAGAAGAGCTTGCTGCTCCCATTGAATTTGGAAGTACTGCTCCTGACTATGCCATGAACTTGGCTAGCGATCAATGGCCTACCCAAATCTCTGATTCACAGTGGCCCGGTGAAGCTCAGAAACCCATTGCTGCTGTTCCTGGTACCTTTTTCCCAGACGGTTAGTCTTCATCTATTTGTTTTCGCTAAGTTTGCTGTATTTCGGTTTGGTTAATCTGCTTGCCACCGGTTCTAATTTCAATGGTTTAAAGATTTAATAGTTACTCCTGTCAAATGAACTTTTGATTGTGCAGTTCCTTTGCCAGCTGGAGATGGATGGGATGCCGTGCCTGCTCCACAACTGGCTGGTGTTGCCCCCGACGTACCTGCCCCTCCTGCCCCTCAAGCTACTGGCTGGGATTAAGGGCAGCATTGCGCAATTAGTTTTGTCTTGACCCCATTTCCTACCATTTCCTTCATAATTACGGCCTAGTTTTGAACTATTATTATTTTATGTTTTGGCAAAGAACCTGGTTTTTGTTGGCACAGTTTAGTTTTAGACATTGAGAGTTAGGTTTTGTTATTCATGATGATGATATCTGAAGTGATGAATATTTTGTTATGTTACAATTATTATCCCAAAGTTACCCAAGTTTTTGTGTTTGTCAACTCCAATCTATTCCCCATGCTATTGGCGACAATTACCTTGCTATAAAAGCCTTAAAATGTTATGAGTCTGTTTGGTTTGTTACTTTCGATAAGATTTTGATTTTGAGAATAAGATTGGGTAGTTGAAAAGGTTGATTATTACGACATAAAATTTAAAAATTAACAAAAATATTTTTTAGGTTTGCTAATTTAACTAAACTTTCTAATATATAAAATTTTTATAAAATGGCAAAAACATCCAACCCATCTACTGTGTTAGATTCATGTCAAGATTCATGTCACTATTGTTAGAATTTGGTCTAAAAATGACGTTACGACGTAGACTGGTTGGATCTGGTCGGTTGTGTGTTAATCTGGTTTTTTTGGGTTAGATCCACTATAGATTTGGTCGAAAAAGGTTAGATTTACGATTAGATCTGATTGTCGACGGTCGAAAAATGTCAGATCTGATCGTCAGTCGCGGCCAAAGATACGGTCGTCGTTGACTGTCATTTATGACCAAATTTGGCCATTGTTGGTCATTTTTACGTTGTTGTGACAAATTTCGGTTACCATCGACGGTGGTTGTTGGAATCTGACAACTATAGGTGAATGGGGGTGTTTTCATTAGTTTTTAAACTTTTTTTCTAGGGTATTTAATTAAATTAATAAACTTGGAAGGTCTAAAAATAATTAAATAAAATATAATAGTATTTTCTAAATAATTAAACAAACAACTATTTTAGAAATAAGATAAAGAATGGGGCATGAAATAATAAAACAAACGGACTCGTATTATTTTGCATGTTCTACAACTCTGACAAGCTCAATACTGCCCATACTCTTATGAGAGTTGAGGACTTTCTCCCACCAAAAAAAAAGGTTTAATGACATTCTTTTAAAATATTATTTAATTATCACCATTAGTAATTTTTCTTAAACGGTAATTTTTGTTGCGAGGAAGGGTAGGAGGGTTAAAAGTCAGTGATAAATGAGGATAGAATGGTTTATTGGGCTTCATCAATCTCTCCTAAAGCATGTGTCGGCCTA